TTTTTTTGTACCTTCGAACCTAATTAATAATGTACTTTATATTAAATTTTGACCGGTTTTAGTATACGCTTGGAAAAAGATTCCTAAAATTGGCCTTTATTTTGTACGTCCATGGTGGCCTTACCCCTTAAGTAGCGTTCTTGAGAGTCTCAAGTTTTATTATCAACTCTCATTCGAATTTCTAATAGATCGAATTCATTTCTTTAAAGTATTTAAATAATAATTTTAAATATACAATTTATATTAATAAGTTAAAACAACAATGCTCAATGTTCTGCGTGAAATAATTTTTCGGACAACTGTTGACGTTTCAGAGAGATGAAAGATACACATGTCATTAAAAAGAACCGATATATGTAATTGCAAATAATCTGATAATATTATATTATTGGAAGCTTTCGTCGCTGCAATATAGTTTGCTAGAATTAAAATGCGTACCTTTAGCGTGAGACCGATGTATCTCCTCGGTAGCGTGCACCCGATAATATGTATGTTCATATTCGGGCAAACTGACCACTACCGTGAATGGAGTGTTCGCTATTCCCATGTGACTGTATTTTCTTCTCACTCTACCAACACGTTTCTAAAGCGATAAACAATACATATTAATTGAAGTAACATGGATAGACTATTCTTTAGGGAGGACTTTATTAAAGAGCTCTTATATTTCTCTGGAAATGCAAAAGATGTTCCTATGCAAACGTAGAATCATGTGAATTTAGATCAAAAGCTTTTCTAAAACGAACGATTTGAGTGGCAAAATAATATAATAAATATACATATAGCCTTAAATTATCGTTTATTATTTTGATATTGTTTCTCTTTGAATAATAATAAGAATATATTAAGAAAGCTTTTTAATCGCTTTTAAATATCAAACGGTTTTAAATACAAAAAAACGGGACTCTCGTTGAATAAATTGTATATTTATGGGTATTTATCGTTAAATATTTTATATTGTGACACAATGTACTTACCATGTCATCGTAATGATACTTTGTGACAAGCGTCGCGCTACCATTTATCTGATTTATCACACTGTTGCGAAGCTACGGAAAATGGAATAAACTCGTATGTAATTACTATAGTTAAACATTTAACGACAGTATTGCTCAAACTTCGAGAACGTGTCTATAAATTTTAATTACAGAATGTAACGTTGACGGTCTATGAATTTTTATTACAGAAATTACTTTCTTTTATTCGTTGCAAAAGTTTTTCTACCAAAATTTACGAAAAAAAAACTCTAATTTTCTCTACTTTCTCTAAATTATTTACTTTTATTCTTTCTATTTACCATGATGATTCCGTCGTCGAATTCTCTGGGACCTCTATCGTTATCCATTAGCTCAACATCCGCCATATCGACGCTATTATATGCCGGTTTTAAGATACCCTGGAACTATTTTTACGACACATATTATTTTTATTACTAATTGTATTTTTGTCTCGTTACATCGAAAACTTAAGTCGATAAAATAGTAAAAATAAAAAATGTTTCATTTTCACGTAATATTAAATACCATAGCATTAAATCGAGATACAAGTGCGCGCGTGCGAAAAGAGTTAAATATGATAATATAATTTAAAGAGCATTACCACTGGTCGAAGATCAGGATGAATCAGGATAAAACCATTGTTGGTCACGATGAAAGCGTAACCGTTGACGCCGAGCTGTTCGCACGGAGAGAAACAAAAAGAAAAGATCGTATTATCATGATTTACATGTGCTATGCCGTCAATTGATGATACACTGCGTGCATCATAAAAGCTATAATGGATATTAATAGCATTTTCATATTACTCTTCTCCTAATAGAGTCGTCGTGTCATATTCAATGTTCATTCAATCCCTCCACGTGGAAATATTCCCTCATTTATTATCTTTGTATCGTATTTTTTATATGATATTAATATTTATTATATCTTGATCATATTTATCTTTGTAATCTCTCAAATTTCTAATCTATATCAATAAAAATATCAAGAATATCAATCAATAAAAATTAGAGAAAAATAAATAAATTATAATTAATTTTAACTTCTGCATTAATATTTAGTTTTAAATAATTAATTCTTGTTTTAATTTTTATTTAATCTCGTCAAATTATAGAAAGATTTTAGCTGTATAGATCATTACATTTTGAATATTAAATATCCTGAATTGGTACTCATCACAGTTATTGAATTATTACTATTCATAATTAATTGCTAACGGCAAAAATTTAATCTGTCTGTTTTGGTAAAATAAGACGTAAAAAATATATAAATGACAATATATTGCTCACCATATGTGGCATCATCAATTTCTGGATTTCATTGATTGGTACGTCCGTGCCAGCAACACCGAGGAGATCGGCAATCATCGTCTGCGCAGACAATTATCGATACGTTAATTAGGGAACCTGCATTATGTTCTGCATTGCGTGACGCCTCTATCATATCATGACAATGTTATTATGTTGAAATAAATTACGAATTATCATCATCTCAAGTCGCATAACCAGAAGCGTATCTACCTTCTTCAACAACGTACTATCACAATGAGTTCGTCTACATAAACACGTTTTAATATATCAAAAAACCATATGTGTGATAAATGATCACCCCTCGCGTGTGTACAATGATGAGCATGATCTTCTGAGTATTTTCAATAGATGCAAGAAGTAATATATTTTTGAAAATATTAAGTAAAAACATTTATTCGCAATTAATTGTTTATTAGTGAAATGTCTACAATGAAATAGTTACTGCAAAGTTTTGCTGAATATAAAAATTATTTTTAGCAAAAAAGAATAATGTCTGTGTTGCAGAATGAGAAATAGAATGGGAAAATATATCCAGATTATAAAATGTCACGTAATTATTAAAACTCGATTTGCAAAAGTATTTTCATTTTGGAAATATTTAAAGATGCGCGCGAGAGGGACGAGCAATAAGAGTGTGAATTTTTTGCGATTAGACGCAATAACTAGCTCAACTACTGTTTCAATGTATGTGTGTGTGTGTGTATGTGTAGTAATAATAATAATAATAATAATAACGATACACAATAAAAACTCTAGAATAATTAAACAACAAATTCTCTCTATAATTAATTAACAACATCGGACGCAGGCTACCCTAAGTGTTAGTTCAAGTAACAATTAGCTTCGTTTTTTCGAAGTGACGACCTTTCTCTCTTTCTCTTTCCCATGTAATAGAAAACAATTTAATAGAATTTTACTTTTACATATTTTATGTAATAATGTTACAGAAATAATGTCGATCATGAGCAGCACATGCGATAAAATTTGTTTTCGTTCGAATGTCACATGAATATATGATGAGTGTGTGCGAGATTAATTAAGATAATTTTGAGAGGTCGTCGCTTGAATCAGATCTACGAATGTCTCTGTGACTAACGAAATCTAGCACTCAATAAACTGCCAAAATTCATATTATTCGTGTACGTGCGTGCCTGCTGTTACTTGTAATAAAAGGAGCAAGTGCCTGGGAAAAGTAGTTATTATTATTGTAATATTAAATAAATCATTATCCTCGTCTGAGTAAATGTAATTTCAAAATTTACTGAAAAGGAAAATTTTTGAAATGCAATCAGTTTTAATTGTATTAACATTTTTTTTCTTTAGATGAAGTCCATTCGCTTGCTCCCTCAGTTATAATATTTCTTTCTTTCGTTATATAGATATATAGTAGTCACTGCAGAACGATCTCTACGAATCAATCTTTACGAGGATATTATTATTCGCCGTACGCAATCCAACAGGCGGGCAGGAATTTGCCTTTTTTTTTTCTACTCGTCTCGACAGGACACAGGGTAGACTAACGTACCTAAACCTACCTAATGACTTGAAATAATTCCAGTAACTAACGTTAGAGATCAACATAAGATACCAGAGAATCGAATGTGGACCTAAAAGAGATCTATGCGCGTCTACGACCTCGTTTCAGCATTATTTAACATCAGGATTATATTTTTTTGTGAACCTAATAGATTAGGAAAATTTTAATAGATGGAAATATTTTAAAATTATTTAAAAAAAACTAAATTAGTAATTAATATTTTTTTAAAATAAACGATAAGAAAATTTAGAATAATTGCAATATTATTTAGGTAATATTTTTTCAGAGCAAATATTCTTTGAAGTTTCACGAGCCTAATAAGTGATAAGTTAAGGTCCGTTAAACGATAATTAAGGCTGATAGCGAAGTAGGTCGTAGATCGTCGATCGCACGAAAACGAAAGATAAAGATACAGGATGTACTATATGCATCATAGAACAATGTTGCTTGACTTTTTTTGTGTTTTAACTGCCAACCTCTCTTGTTTCTGTCACCCAGTATGCTTCGTTCACCAGCACCTGCCTTGTGATGTTCTGTGGACAAAGAGGAACTTAAAACCGAAGCAAGTGCAGCGAGTGAATATATACCTCGATCACGAGTCTCGCGACTTTTATCTTGTTTAGCTTTTTTTTTTTTTTTTT